TGCCGTGATATACTATGCCACCACAGGCCCAAAACAATAGGACCAACAAACCACGAACTAAAACTTGTGAAATTATGAGCTAAAATAAACCTTTTCCCACATTAAGGTGATTACCTCAAGCATTTTGTTACAGTAACACAAAGCAAACTAACTGCAACAAAATACCACAGAGTAGGTGGCTTAAGCAACAGAAATTTATTTTCTCATAGTTCTGGAGGCTAAAAGTCCAAGATCAAGATGTGAGCACTTTTGATTTCTCTCTCTTTAGTTTGCAAATGACCCTCTCTTTGTGTGTCCTCACAAGATTTACCCTCTATCTGTCTGTGCCCTGATCTCCTCTTCTTATAAGGACACCACTCATATTGGATCTAGGCCCACTCTAATTATCCTGTTTTAATTTTATGTTCTCTTTAAAAGTTTTATGTTTAAATCTAATCACATGCTAATGTAGTAGGCATCAGAGTTTCAACAAAGGGATTTCGGGACACACAGTTCAGTCCATAACAGATTATGTTTATTCTTTGCTAAGTACTGTGATGGTGTTGAATCTCCTAACTTCTCTGGGCCCAATTTTAATTCCAACCTTGAATGGGAGGTTTATAGCCCTTGCTTTCAGTGCTGACAATAAATAGCTTGCTTTCTGCCTTTCCCATGAAAACCCTCTTTAATTTTAGCTCAACTGGAAATAAATGATCACACAGTGGCGTAAGTAGAAGGCAGATGGTCAACAAATTTAATGTTTTCCAACCCTTTATCCTTGTAGCAAAGAGAGAAAGAAAAATCGAGGCTGTCCAGAGTACAAAATAGTCTAAGACTATTACCACCTGAAAGTTGGTGGTAGAATTTAAAGTAAGAGAGAAGCACGGTTAGAGGAAAGAAAGGGTGGAGAAGAAGAAAGAGAATTAACATGCTTTTGGGAATTACGCTATAGCAGAAGCTAATGTTGCTGAATCTTCACAATGACTTCATGTGATAGGTATTATTGCTGTTATTATTTCTGTTTTACTAATGAGGACATTGAGACACAGAGAGTTATTTCAGCTGAACTAGAATTCAGAGAGCTCACACAAACCAGCTCTTCTGACAGTAATGACTGAACAAGCTTTGTCATCTCCTTCCCCAACTGCCTTCCTATGCAGCCACGCCCTGTCATAGGCACTGAGACAAAACTATGGCTTCTGTCTGTTTCTCTGGTGACTATTCTAAAGAAACGCCAAGACCAACTCTGCTCGTATTCTCCTCACTGTTGTAATTTAGTGAGCAGATAATATTCATTAAAGAAATATCAATATCAATAAATACATAAGGGAAATAAAGAAAATTCTGGATCATGCCAAACTGATCTACCATGACAGCAGATTAATGGTTGATTATGGGGCAAAAGGATAAGTGAAAGCAGGCTGGAGAGTACTTTTAAGGGAGATAAAGATGTTCTATATCTTGACTTTGTTTCTTGCTCTACTTGTGTATACTTTTATCAAAACTCATGGCATGAGTCTGCTTTACTATAACAAATACAGTGGTGCCTTTGTTCACAAGCTTAATTCTTTCCACTATTCTGATCAGAAACCGAATTGGATGAGAACTGCATCAATTTCAATGGTTAGATTCAATGTCGACATTATGGGGAAATTTGATCTGGTTCTTGTCCAATTCATTTTGTGATCAGAAGCATGGAAAGAATTAAGTTTGTAAGTTAAGGTGTCACTGTACCCAAAATAATCAACTTATGAAGAAAAAAGGTTTATTTTGGCTTGCAATTTTGAGGTTCCAGTCTGTGATGTTGAGCTGTTTGTTTTGGGCCTATTGTGAGGCAGCACATCACGGTGGGACACAGGACAGAACAAAACTGCCCATCCCATGGCCAAGAGGCCAAAGACGGAGAGATCCCATACTCTCCTTCACGGGAACATCTTCAGTGATCCCAAAACTTTCCACTAGGCACCACTTCTTTTTTTTTTTTCTCTCATTGATTTTATTTGTACATTTTAGGTATGCAGTACAGTTACATTCATCATTGGGATCTTGTACCTTTACATGACAGGTCTTGGTTCTCATTTTTTCCCCTTACCCCTGCCCTCCCTTCACCCCCTCCTCCCTTCCCTATTTACAGAAACTGTATTTCCATTTTTTCATTTTCTCATATTTTTTCTTTTCCCTTATTTCCTTTCCCCTGCCCTTCCCAATTCCTCTACACCTTTAGCCCCTTTCTTCCTATTTCACATTGTCAATTATACCATTAGGATCTTAGGCACCATTATAGTTTTTCACACCAGAGAAACCATTCGGTATAGGCACCACTTCTTAAAGGTTCCACTACCTCTCAACAGTGCCTTCCTGGAGAGCAACCTTTAACACATGGGCCTGGGAGGGACATTTAAAATCTGAATTATAACACACACCAACTTACACACTTAAAATAGGCAAAATTTTTGTATGCAAATTATTCCTCAGTAAGTTGGTCTAAAGAGTTTCTTTTTGAAAACCACCAGAAATCTTACCAAAAGACATGACCATCACCATTTTGGTGTCTTTATGCTCCCAGGATACACACACAGAAACACACACACACACTCACACTCACAGTCTATATTCTCTCTCCCTCCCTCCTTCCCTTCCTCTCCCTCTTTCACCCCCCAATAACATATCATGAAAACCTTTCCATGTCAACATCTAGCATGCTGCATCAGCATATTTACAGTGGTAGAATAGATCCTTGTGTCCATGTAACATGATTTACTCCCCTGATTTTGTTGGAATATTAGATGTTTCCAATTTTTTTTACTATGAATATCCTTGTAACTAAATATTTACACATATCTTTAATTATTGCCATAAAAATTTCTTCCAGTAAAATTACTGAGTCACAGGGCTCACATTGTTTTTAAGGAATTTGCTGTATCTTTCCAAGCTGCTCTCCCTACAAGCTACACCAACTTATCCACCCACCAGACATCTTTTGGTTCTGACTGTAGTCCAACCAGCCCTGTGGTGCTCCATGGGAACAGACACAAGGTAAATCCCACTAATTGACACACGCGGAAATCCCACAGCTTTAGAAGTTATTGAAACTTTACAAAGGCAATCTCTCAGTCTCAATTTAGCTGAACTCAAGGCCCATAAAGATGCAGGGGCCTGAAAGTGCTCCTAATTTAACATATCTAAAACCCAAACTCAGGGTGGAAACGAACACACGATTTGCCAAAAGAATGTTGAGTCAAATAGCCAGAAAAGAACTGAGATTCTCTCTAGCCTAACACCCACTTAACCTCTTTGGACCAAATCTTGTTGGACACCAGGGCCTCTGGGCAAGCAGGGACCCTGAAAAATGCTATCACAACTGTCGAATATCAACCAACTCCAGCTGATTCCACCTTAGTCCCATCCTTCACTCAGCTGCACTGGCCTTGGGGTGATTATTTAACCCCTCTAGCTCCATTTCCTCAATAGAAAAATGGAAATAGTAATTGTACCTGTATAGCATCTTATGAGGATGAATCGAGAGAATACATCGAAATTCACTGTCACCATGCCTGTTCTGAGCAGGTGCGGATAAATAAGTATCACTATCATTTCCCCCCCCCACCCCCGCCATGTGCCTTCAGGTAGCAGAAACCTGCAAAAACAACTTCTGGCCCGTATTCTGTCCCCAGTGCCCTGGTGTTGACACGCAGGGCCAGTTACTGTGCTCATTTTAGAGCCGTCTTAATACCACCTATAAACCAGGGACACGAAACGCCATTCTTAGGAGAGTCCCGCCCACCCCTCCTGCCTCCAGGGCCAACCCTGACTAATTACAGGCATCTGATTTAAGGCTGTGTGTGTACACTTCGCCTGAGCCAAGCCCATCAAAGGGCCATCTCTCTGCCAGTCTCCAGGCCCAGAATAAGCAGCAATTTGGGAGGCAGCCCCCTTTTATTTTTAGTTAAAAAAAACCCCAAAAGCCAACATACCAGCGCTCACCCAAGCATCTCTCACAAGCTGTTGTTTGGCTTGGGTTGAGAAAATGACAGGCTGAGTTCTACATCAAGAAGAGAAAAAAGAAAAAGGGAAAAAAAATACAGAGGGGAAAAAGGAGTTTTATTTTCCTTCCACTGCCAGCCTCCGTCCCCTTCAACTCCTCCCCTAGACCTGGGTGGACCCTGCCTGGGTAATCGTTCTTTTCTATATTTAAAAACCACAAATGTGTTTGGTGGAGACTTAATTTTGGAATTGCAAGCGGCGTCTCCTGAGGACAAGGGGAAAGCCGGTGCCGCGCGCCCGCTTGCTGCCTGGAGCTCCCTGCTCGGGGAATCCAGGTCAGGACGCGACGCC